TTCTATCTAGTTATCTTCGTATGAATGATTATAAGTGCTAGATAGAGCCTGGGAAATCCGTTTGAAAACCCTAAAGCTGTATTATTTCCGTTATGTCTCTTGTAAAACCACCTCTTTACGACCCCATAAGCCGACTTCTTAGATAAAAATTAGAAAATCTAGATTCCTTTGGAAATGGCCGCACAATTTCGTTTGGCTCGTCTTCGTTTTCTAACTTACTTCCTCTGCGGAGCAAGGTTCTCGTACCACTAAGAAACTCTTGTTTATTGGTTGCGTTGGAAATTGTTTTTAGTCCCACTTGCCGCGGTAGGTCAAACGTGATGTTGTGTTGGTTTGATTATCATGCCTCGTTGGCACAAACCCCTCGTTGGCACTAATAGAGCGACAGCCTAATCGACTAACGAGTGTGAAGTAAAGGCGGGCTAGCAGCTAACAATATATATTACTCTCTGACTTCTTCTTTTTGACTGGTCCTCCAACCCGTTATCGGGCTATGACCTGACGTAACACAGCTCTCCACGCGCCTCTGCTTCGCCCGCGTCGCTTCCAGTTTGTCACTCCGCAGGTACAAAAAGCATTCTCTACCTAGTCTTTCCAGCGTATGCAAGGTTTCCTCCGTCGGTGCCTCCCCACAACATCCGCATCGAGCATTTTTTTCGCTTGAGCTTCTTCATCCATACGCAAAACATGACCTAGCCAGCTTAGCCGCTGGATGTTTATTCGCTTGACTATGTCAGTGTTGGCGTAGAGATCGTACAGTTCGCTATTCCATCGCATGCGGTAGTCGTCGCCAACGCATACGGGACGAAGATCTTTCGAAGCATTTTTCTTTCGAGCACTCCAAGAGGTGGATTGTCCAGTGACGTGCGCGCAGTCAGGAACACTTCGAGAAGCCCCTCTTGGAATCGGAGTATTTTGGATTACTTCTGGAATGACACCAACATTTTGGTGCGAGCAATTATCTCTCACAAGTAAAACACGTGTACGTCGACAGCAGAGACACCAAAATTTATTTATCCTTAGCGGTTGTAACAAATATATTTATTAAATCCGGCTTTGCAATTCACAAACTATATGCTTAAGGCCCTGGTAACCACGTTATAAGCTGTATGCTAGCTTACAGTTTTAGCTATAGGCTAGCTCAGTAAATAAAAATTTATGTCCGACTCTAACGACCAAAAAGGAAAAGCCATTAATCCCGGCGTCGACTACACCCGTAAAAGAATTATTCAATTCGATCGCAACTGACAATATTATAATTTAAAAGAAGCATCTCCCATAATGTGTCCACTTTTAGTGACGTTTGTCCACAAAGCAATTAATGGAAATGCAAACAGAGAAAGTACTGCACAATATATAGGCAATTTTGCATTGGATTTCCTTTAGATTCACTGCTGGTTTGTTCAAAAGCTCTCTTTTCGGCCTTATCGATATCGTAGCTACAAGTGCAACAGATAAAAACACTGGTTTTCTATTTCTTACTCTATTATATTATGTATTTTAAATATCATGTTGGTAATGCGGGAAGCGTTTGAGGGTTTTCGGGACAATTTTATTTGATTTTTTGCGGGACATCGCCTGTCAATGCGGGACGGTTGGCCGTCTTAACATATAGTGACTGCCCTTCGGTCACTCTGAACAATGACATCATCCCACATGTTGATCGGCGTCTCACTTGTCGTGCCCATATCACTGGCAAGAGAAAAACCCTCAACACAAAGCTTGGAAAGCTATACTGGCTGCGGGGTCCCAGATCCAAACTGCACCCACGAAACAAATTACTGATCTACAAGGCAATGTTGAAACCTACGTGGACCTACGGTATTCATCTGTGGGGACGGCCAGCCGATTTTACTAGAGCGGTTCCAAAATAAAATTCTAAGAATAATAACTGGCGCACCACTTTACATGCGTACCACATGCATCCGGAGAGCTAGTGTGGCCACGTCACAACCATCATGACAGAACGCATGATTAAACGAATCCAATGCTATCATAAAATTTAATAATTGTACTCCTTAGGACATATCTTAAATAAGGAATAGATTTATAAAAAAAAATATGTACATTTACATATGTATGTATGTATATATTACACACTTAAAATAATTATTCAATTTGTTTATGTTTCTTTATTTTTTTAATCATATTTTTCACACGAGTGAAACTTTTTGACCAGTACTGGATTTTTTTACCCTTTACCCGTAGGGTAAAAAGTGTATATTAGGTTTGTGCAAAGTATATAACAGGCAGAAGGAAGCATTTCCAACCCTATATGGTGTATATATTCTTAATCAGCACGACGAGAGAAATCGATGTAAGTATGTCCGCCCGTCTGGAAACGGTGAAGCGCACATTAACCAATCTTGGTACACAGACGCTCTCAATCCCTAAGCTACTCGAGTTTATTCTATTTTTTTAGTTTCCCTCCCCTCTCCATTTAAGTATTTTCTGTAAATTTTCGGTTTTTTCTTGCCCTTTCATCTAGTTAGAAACAGCTTTTTTATACCCTGTACTCGTAGGGTAAAAAGGGTCTATTAGGTTTTTGCAAAGTATGTAACATGCAGAAGGAAGCATCTCGGCCCCATAAAGTGTATATATTCTGAATCAGCATGATGAGAGACATGTCCGTCCGTCTGTCTGGATGCACGCAAGAAACTATAAAAGCTGGAAGAACCACAGTTGGTATCCAGATTCTCCTAGGTCCAAGAAAGGACGAGTTTATTTTATTGAATTCCCCCACTGTCCCTTAGTCTTATGGCCTCCATGATGAAATAGGGGGGAGGGGGGAATCAAAAAAAAAAGAGACAAACTTGCACAGCGAACACATATAAGGCATCTTTGTGCAAAATTTGGTGTCTAGCTCTTATAGTCTCTGAGATCCAGGTGGTCATACGGACCAGTGCTGTAATTTTATCTTTTTTCCCGTTAGATCTGGCTTTTTTGAATGCCAGGGCGGGAAAAATTCGAAAATAGCGGGTTGCGGGAATTTTACCTTGAAAATAATTTATTTAGCCTTTTTTTTAGCTTTACTCTATATTTCTCCATAAATTTGTTTCCTTATCTTTGTCAACACTTAAAATCATGAATATAAGCAGTGATAAACGACTTTCGATAATAAAATCTATCAAAATCACAATGAATTTAGATAAACATGAAGAACTGTAGAATTTTTAGCTGAATTTTCTATTATTATTTTTACAAGAATCTCATATTATTATTATAAATTATAAAATAAGAATATAGAATTAATATGAAAATATTAAAACAGATATTTCCTTAAATTTAAGCAAGAAAATAGCCCGACTTGTTTTTAGCTTATTTTGTATTGGATTTTGCTTTTTTTAGCTTTATTTTTTTGGTAATCTAGCTGTTTTTGCTCAAAAAATTATGACAGCACCGATACGGTCACGCTGGTCAAGAATATATATACTTTGTGGGGTCTGCCACGCCTCCTTCTTCTTGTTACATTTTTCAGCTCGCACAAACCTAATACCTAGTTTTTATCTATTGGTTTTCTACCTCTTATGCTGGTAATACAGGACATGCGGGACGCGTTTCAAGTTTTCCGGGACTATTTTATTCGATTTTTCAATGCGGGACGGTAGGCCGCATTAGAATATACATATGTATGTACATGCATATGTATACTAGTTTTGCTTATTTCCCCCAAAATGATTTTCTTCAATTCCATAATTTTAGCATAAACAAAATCGACATGTTTTGCCCCCACAACTGGGATAAGGCGTTGTACTTCTCGTCGATTGCCTTCATAATTGTATACCGTGTTGGGAGCTGATAGTTTGGTACAGCGACCAACATTAAGTCACTGAATCCCTCGTACTCTACGAAGGAAAATGGTAAGCTATCCTTTCTAATGAAGTAAAGAATCTTAAGTTTCTTTGCGCCATTTGTTCCAAAAATGCGGTAGCTGCCGCTGTCCTGCATTTTAGTGCTCCTGATAGTTAATTTCTGTATGGAATAACATACATATGTACATATTTCACACGACCCAATAATAAATTCCTGGGATGTACACATATCCATTTAAATATACATTTGTTTGTGTGTCAAATACCGGTGAATGTACTTGTACATGAACACAAGCACGTAAGCGTTCCAGGAATTAGTGTCTTTGTTTATTTTTATTAATGTTTTTACTTAGTCCTTATTTATATTATATTTATATTATATATTTATTGCGTTATAACTAAGGTCTGTTTACTTTTGAATTTCTTGTGAAATTAGAGATGATAAGCTTTCGATGTTTTTGCCTAAACAGAGATGTATCGTAAAAACATCGGAAAAAAGGCGACTCAATATAGGGATGTAAGTCGAAGGGAAAATATTGATGTTGATGTCAATCGATGTATCTTTAAAAAATCGATGCATGGTTGATGCATCGCAAAAAACATAAATACATCGATGTTTTCAAAAGTTAACTTTCTATAGAAAAGGAGGCTCATATTAGAGAGAAAATCAACAGAGATGTTATAAATTAAAAATGTTTATGTATCAAAAGAGGCTGTCATAGTATTTTACTTAATATTGTTAACCAATCGTAATCCTGACCTTTGATGAACTTGTATGGTTTACATTAATATGAACTTATTATGTACAGTTTCAAAAACAAATCAATCCGACGCTTTGCAGTTAAGTGTGACAATTATACGAATTAAAATGAAGGTAAATTTCTAAACAATCTAAAATATATATAATAAAATACACATATGAAAACATAAAAAAAATTATTAAAATACAAATATAACTTCTCCGCTAAACCACCCAAATAAATGTGACCGTTCAACAAAACATGAAAAATGTTGGATCGACGGTGCATCGCAAGCAAAAAAAACATCGGAAAACATCGCTGCATCGTGTTAAAAACATCACCGATGCTTAATACATCGATGTTTTTTACATCCCTAACTCAATATCAAAATATCGACGATGTAAAAAAAATCGATAAGCCCTAATGTTAATATCTTTACTCACATTGGGTTTTAATCTGAATTCTTATGCTTGGTTATTTTTTAAAACATAATAAAGATTTGCAATTGTGTGTGCTGTGTAAGAGTTTTATAGTATCAAGGTACGACACGCCTTTTGCTGTTGTAAGCAAACTAATATCATGTTCGTTAAAATACACATTTTTATATTATTAAAATTTTTGTGTTAAAGGGAAGCAGTTTTCGTTGCTTAATCCAAGGACACTTCCAAACATGGGGGTCCCCAAATTTTTTCGTTATATCAGCGAGCGCTATCCATGTCTTAGCGAAATGGCGCGCGAGCACAATGTAAGCGTCTTACAATCACCACCATTGTTCACTCTTTTTTACACTATCTACTAAAGATTCCAGAATTCGACAACCTGTATTTGGATGTTAACGGCATTGTTCACAATTGCTCTCATCCAGACGATACTAATATACACTTTCACCTGGAGGAGGCGCAGATCTTCCAAGAAATATTCAATTATGTAGACAAATTATTCTATTTAATTAAACCACAAAAACTGTTTTTTATGGCCGTCGACGGCGTGGCACCTCGCGCAAAGATGAATCAGCAACGCAGTCGACGATTTCGATCAGCGCGCGAGGCTGAGCAGTTGGAAACAAAGGCGTTACAGCGTGGAGAACGCCGCGAGCACGAACGTTTTGACAGCAATTGCATTACACCTGGTACGGAGTTCATGGAGCGCTTACAATTGGCACTGCGTTGTTTTCTGCGTACGAAAATTTCTACAGATCCGCTATGGCAAAAGTGCCGCGTCATACTTAGTGGCCAAGAGGTGCGTATAGAGTATGTTATGTTGTACCGTACCAATCTATTATATATTTGTAGACACCTGGAGAGGGTGAGCATAAGATAATGGACTACATACGCTACTTAAAGACGCAGCCAGATTTTGATCCCAACACACGTCATTGCTTATACGGCCTAGATGCTGATCTTATTATCTTGGGTTTGTGCACGCATGAGTTGCATTTTGTTGTACTGCGCGAGGAAGTCAAATTTGGACGCAATGTAAAACGCACTTCTGTGGAGGAAACACGGTTTTTTTTGTTGCACTTGGGCCTACTACGAGAATACTTAGAGTTGGAGTTTCACCAGCTCTCTACAGCAGAAAAGAAACTCGATGTGGCACAACTTATTGATGATTGGATCTTAATGGGCTTCATGGTTGGAAATGATTTCATACCACATTTGCCATGTTTGCATATTTCGTCGAATGCGCTGCCGTTACTATATAAAACCTACATACGCATATATCCAAAGCTAGGCGGTAATATTAATGAGCATGGTAAATTGAATTTGGAGCGACTACAGCTGTTCATGCTTGCATTAAGTGAGGTGGAGTTGCAACAGTTCGAAGAGCATTCCGACGACTTAAAGTACATGCTTGCTAAAACAGAAGCATTCGATGTGGATGTAAGTGAGATGAATAACGATATGTTTGACGATGACCTGACTGCACTTATTGACAGCAGCATGAAGGTAAGCAGAAGAAACGCGTTGTTCGATCCCTATTATTATTATTTTCTTGCTTTAGCTCTACAATAGCGATAGCCTAGAAAACCTAGACGAAGAAGCCAGTATAAAGCACGATTTTCTTAATTACAAACGTAATTACTATTGCACTAAATTTAAAACTGAGATGAACGATGAGTTCCTATTCGACCTTAGTCAACATTACGTGACTGCCCTGCAATGGATATTACACTATTACTATCGAGGCGTACAATCCTGGGATTGGTATTATCCCTTCCACTATGCGCCTTTCGTAAGCGATCTGAAAAACATAACACAAATGCGCATACAATTTGAGCTAGGGACACCATTTTTGCCGTTTCAACAGGTGTGTTGACATCGTGTAGCCTAACGAATATTTTAAAAAGACAAAACACTTACAAATCAAATCATCACACTCACCCATACTAGTTACTGGCTGTACTGCCTGCTGCCAGTTCAAAACTGCTTCCTACCGTTTATCACGACCTGATGCTAAAGACTGACAGCCCTTTAGCTGAATTTTTCCCCACAAACTTTGAAAGCGATCTCAACGGAAAGAAAAACGATTGGGAAGCTGTAGTACTCATCCCATTTATCGACGCAAAACTGTTGCTTAGTGCGATGCTGCCCTGTGACAGACAACTTAGCGTTGAAGAGTATAACAGAAATAAACATGGACCCATGTATCAATATGACTATTGTGCCGAGTCTCAAGGTCAACTGGTGGCATCGCCACCGCTCAAGTCATTACAGCATGTTTACTGTACCGAGCGGGCCCAGTGGGCGTGCGAGATCGCGATTAAACTACCACACAGCGTATTCGTGGAATTACCCAATGCTGCACGTCACGTTTTCTTCCCGGGGTTTCCCACCATGAAGAACCTGCCCTTTGATGTAAGTAAATCCGTAGAGAATTCATGTTATTTTAATGTATTAATTCGATTATACTTTGCAGTTCGAATTGCGTCACGCTAGGATTAAGGTTTTTGTGCAGCCAAGTCGCAATGAGAATCTAATACTCATGCCCAAGAAGCGAGACCTGCTGGACAGCTTTAATTCTGTAGCCGATCTATATTTGCAAAAGATCGTCTACGTTGGATGGCCGCATTTGATCAAGGCTATGGTGGTCAAGGTGGCAACGCGTGATCAAATTGTGGACGAGAAAGGACTGCATTCAAATGAATCTCGTCGATTTGACATGGAATGCAAATCACTACAGGAACAGTTGAGTTTCGTAACCAGTAAAGACGGGCACAAAAAAGATTCCAAAACAATTTTTTTATTGCTTTTAATTTAGTCCATGCTTCGCTCATGGCCCGTCTCTAAGGCTAAGTGTACATTGCTAACTTTCCTATTTTGTAGCTTCATAACTCGAATGGGTATCCAATTCGACAATTACGACGTGCTTGTCTATTTTCGCACATATGCTGGCAGCAGCATCGAGTTTGGGCACAAAGGTAACGTAAACATGGTAGATTCATGGAGCCATGCGGTCACTGCCTATCCGGCACAGGGGATTGTTACTGATTTAAATGTACGTGAAAATATGAAGCATCAATTTTCCAAGGTGGAGGAACTGTTTCCGGCTGGATGTCAGGTGTTCTTCATTGGGTATCCTTACTATGGAAGCGAAGGCTGCGTGCTAGATCCCTTGCTTGTCTATACCTGCGGTCGTATACAAGGTAAAATTAAGAATATCACCCCAATGGCTAAGAAAGCATTACTAACATTTAAACTTCTGTGCAGTTAACATTACAGTGCGACCTGAACCCAATATTTTGAGTGCACGTGCGCTGCAGGAGGAACGTGATGCAGACTTCATCAACAGCTATGAAGTTTGCAAGCAGCTTAATATTAACTGCAAGTGTCTAGGGCGTCTCACAGGCACCGTTTGGGTAGTTCTCGGACCAAGGCGAGAAAAAATGGAAAATATGGCCAAGCACAACATCGGATTGCAGTTGAAATATCCGCGCTGGGTAAGGCAACGGCAATTCCGAGCTTGACAATGTTGATTTTTTCCATTTATTACTCATAGAATGAAGAGCGTATCGGATACTGTCGCCGTATCAACAATCAATGGTTCTTTTCCAGCGTTGCGGTGGATTTGATCCGTGAGTTTTGCAACTGTTTTCCAGATGTTATTGACTACTTAAGCAAAAGCAATGAACGTGGTGAATATGTGTTCGAGCAGGACATTTACCCCGATGCCGTAGGTCAGCACTATGTTGAGGATGTGGCGAATTGGGTGCGTCAACAACCGCACATGAAAGTAGAGCGTATTGCTTGCGGCTCCAAGACAGTGTGTAAAGAAACAGTGGAGTTGCTATTGGATGCTGTAGATGCACTAAAAGCGCTTCCCGTAAAAGATGTCAAGCTTCAAGTGAAACCGCACCTGCTTATAAAACCTAATGTCACGCTTCCGGATGTGTATAAATCTCGAAGCCCAGTACGTCTATTCGACCGGGTCATTGTAGTACGCACCATTTTTATGGTACCCGTGGGCATTAAAGGCACAATTATCGGAATCTATCCCGTCTGCGACCCGAATCCAGTGCGTTTGGAATGTGTCCGTGCAGTGGAGACTTTCTGCGAGGTACTTTTCGACAAAAGTGTGCCTAATTTTAATGATATTCACGGTATTGCCGAAGAGCGTGTATACAAGGTGCCTGAAAGCGCGCTTGTCGTCATATATAGTGATGGTAAGTCTTGAACCATAAAATATATCTTAAAACCATTTTTTTCTTTTTTTTTAGTGTATATCCTAAAGGTATAATGTTATGATATATGAAAGACACACAAAAAAAATGGCACGTCTCTGATTAAGAATTATGCTTAGTGAGGTCTATAGTTTAGTGAAACAGAGAAGCAAACAAAATCATATAATCCTCTTTTTACGTCTACCTAGCGGAAGCATCTTTTTTACTAAATAGGTTATTGTACTTAAAACGATTGATTTGGAACAGTATTGCAACAAACGCTTTCAGGAAATGTCATTTGCTACCAACAAAGGCGATTTTTTGTATACGCATTTCTCTATCAGCGTATATACATACATACATACATATGTAAATGGTAATCCTGATTTAATTTTTACTAGATTCCACACGAATTACTGCGACTTCTACGTACTGTAGACATCAGTGAAAACGAAGCTAAATTAAATCGGCGTCAATTTAATTGTATCGAATGCCGTTTTCTTTGCAGAAAAAATTGTTGTCATGTGTATGTATGTAGATTAGTTCATTTCAAATTCCATTCTATGTAAACACGACGAGCAAGAAATTCCCGTACCTATATTAGAAAATACATTTAGCTCTCGCTTTACGTAAAATAATCACTAAGTATTAGGGTTGCCATGGAATCGGGTGATTTAATCTAATATTCACTGAATGATTGTGGTACAGATGTTCTATACCATGCATACAACAGTCGTTCGATTTAAGCGTTTGCTAGTTTGCTAACATTGGCCATGAGCACATGCCATGAAACTTAATCCAGTTTGTGTGGTACAAGTGAAATTTTGGCTCTTTATAAAAAATTATTAATGTTAATGGATTCTAGCATACACGAAGAAAAAGAAAGAGAGAGAGAGAGAAAGAGATAGAAAGATCGCATGAGCGAATAAGTTAGGATTTCTTTGCCTTCGGTATTCTATGTAATTTTGTTTTACACTGACTACAGTATGTGCAATTATTGTTGATTTCATGTTGTAACAATAAAAGGGTAATCCCATACGTTGTATCTACGTTACATGCTTAACTAACTCTACCAGAGTAACATGTGAGCGTAAGTTGCGTATCCTGTATATCAGTATGTCATGGTACGATGTTTTTTAAGCTCTCTCAAGGTACCTTGTAGTAGTGTAGTACATTTCCATTTATGATCTTTCTTTGAATGTCAATCAAATTATCGTCAAGTTTGCATCTTATTGTCAAAGCCAGGTTATATTTTTTGTGAAATCGGTAATTGGTAAACGGTTTACAGTAGGCTGCACATGAGTATCCTTACTTAAATGAGCACGAAAAAAGCTACACACAAAATTTAGCTGAAGAACTATTTTGTAGCCGAGGAAAACACAAGTAGCATTTGTTTCTTCATATTTAAATTATATATATCTCTGCTCCTCCTATTAAGTTCAGATAATCCTGCATTAAATCTGTTGCCAACAAAACAAGGTAATAGGCGTTTGTTTTACATATCACAAGCGAAAAAACATTTTTATACTCTGTACATGAAATGTACAGAAGTATATTAGGTTTGCGGGAGCTGAAAAATGTAACAGGCAAAAGGAGGCCCCACAAAGTATATATATTCTTAATCAGCGTGACAAGACGAGTCGATCTAGCCCTGCCTGTCTGTCTGTCCGTCCTTATGAACACCTGGATCTCGGAGACTATAAGATAGAGACACCAAATTTTGCACAAAGATGCCTTATGTGTGTATTCTATACGAGTTTGTTTTATTTTTTTATTCCCCCCCCCCACTTCCCCCCTATGGGGGTTTTCCCGATTTTCCATTCGTATAATCGCCTATATCTCGGAGACTATAAGACCTAGGAACACCAAATTTTAGTCCCAGATGCCTTATGTGAATACGCAGAAAATGTATATTTTGGAATTTCCCTCCCTCCCCCCTCTCCTCCAAATGGCGATTTTCTTTAACTCCCGTAATTCTTGGAATTAAAATTTTGGAAATACCCCCAATTGGTTATTATGTGTCCGTATGCCAAGTTTCACTATGATAGACTGATTTAGCAAGAAGTTATAGCCATAAATATATTTGCTGCTGCAGCGCTGCTTAAGCGCTGCCCGCGGCTGTTGTTGATGCTGGTACTTTGGTTGACCTCACACATGTTTACACAGACACAAATAGATGCGCATAGGCATACATACACAGACGCTATGTAAATGTGCAATTATACACCCTTTACGTGAGTTCGAATACCGAGAAAGGTAAAATCGATCAAAATTTTTTTTTTTTAATTTTCTTAATTTTTTTTATTTTCTTTAAATATTGTAAACATATGTACAGAGTATTTCAAAGTCGGGACACCCGACTTTAGCTTTTTTACTTGTTATTTATACAGTGAACAAAAAAAGTTTAAGTACACTTTGGTTTATAAGGAATATTCGATTAAATTAGTAACTTTTCGAACAAAAATGAACCCAAAGTCTTCAGATTATGATTGGGTCTATATTTACTAACACAACAGCACTTTTCCCTTAATTATCGTATCAAAAAGTATTGAAATATGATTAAAAATACAAAAGAACTCAAAAATGCATGCCAAAAAAGTTTACGTACAGCAGCCAAATCTAACTTAAACGTTTTTTCGCAGCAATTACTGTTTAAAGCGTAGAGGCATACTTTACATTGAAACATGGGTGTCGTTTTCCCAGTTTTTCTCCGACTTATTCAATGATATTGTCTTTAACGAATCCTTCGGCATAATATTACCCTAGCGATTCCCTTTGTCCAACAAATTTCAAATTTGTTCGAAAGAACTTATGTCTGGATGTTGTGGGGGTGTACGCAGCTGTTTAAAATTATAAAGCCATTCCTTAACGAGATACGGGCTGTGTTACGGATAATTGTTGCTGAAGCAATAAAACATTTCTCGTCTAACCCAAATTTTTACGCACTTTGTGTAAGATTTCCCTTCAAAATGTTTAAAACAAATCCCTGTCCATTTTAGTGTCAGTAACCACGAGCACCCACACACCACTATACTTTACCATACCATACTTTACAGTTGGAGTTATATTTTTTAAGTTTTTGGCTTCATTGGTGTTTCTCCACAATTGGTGTTCACCACCCGATTCAAAAATGTTGTATTGATATCCGTCAGTCCATACCACATTATTTTAAAGCGAACCTGACTGATTTGCATATCTTTTAGCAAATTGTAGCCTCTTCTCTCTGTTAGCATTCCATACTAACGTATTTTTTGCAGGGTTCGTACGTTATACCCAAGCATATTCTTGATCAAGACGAGTCGTCGGTCTTTATGAGCGTGAGTACTGGGGGTGTACAAGAATAACCAAACTTGGTGCCCCGGTTCTCCAAGTCTGAGAAATGACAAGTTTAGTTTTTCCCTATGCAATCCCGTACTCCTCAGCTACATATTAGAAATTTTACATAAATCTTATAATTCTTTGGATCTGTGGACCATATTTGGGAATTACATTTGTAGAAGTGGATACAGATTAGTTACTTTAAGTTCGCTCGAGCATTTAATTCATGTGTTTTACAAGTTTTTAAATCTTATGAGAAAAACAAAACTTGGCTGGAATGGTCATAAGAACAATCTGTACCAAAATCACTCTTGCTGAAATAATATGTTTGTTCAACGTGCTACCATACCAAAATTTGTGTCTCGCTTTTTTATGAAGTTTTTTTTCGAAATCAGAATACCGTCATAGGGGCAGTAAGTTGCACGTTTTTGAAAAGATTTTTGGAGATAGTATTCAATTTTATAAGTGATCAAACCATAATAATTTTAAAATGATTTAAAGTTAAAGTACTCATATATGTAAATATATCTTTACAGAAAATAACAGCGTAGAGGCAGTGCCACCACAACATAAAAAACACAACACCTCGATTAAAACACAAGTGGAGGTACCACGCAAAGAACAACAATTGCAAACAACAAATCGATATCTCACCGCAGTGGGGACAAAATTAAACCCAATCACAATGAATTTGCAAATAGGCGAGGAATTCTTTACGCCACCACCTAACGTAGAGAATTGGCGCACAGCACGAGCACAGCAACCTCAGCAAAGTCAGCGAAAGACTGCAGTACAAAAAACAAATAATACAGCAACACCAACTGCTAAGTCTAGTGCCCAATTACAGGGTAGCGCTGGCACGGAGAATTGGCGTTTACCGTTAAACCAAGACCGGCAGCAATCAGTGTCCCTGCCAGTGCGCACCTCACAGGCGCAGACGCTAGCACTGATGTCGCTTTTGCGGGTAGGGCAGGGCTCATCAGCATCACCTGCATCACTGTCTGCCGTGTCGGCCAATCTGCCTTCCACTCAAATGCCTGTATGTAGCAAGTTAACACTATATAACGCCAAACAGGCATTTAACAGAATTTAAAAAGAGAAATGTTTACGTAATTTCAAAATTTACAACCTAACTAATTACACGTTTTGATCCAGAAACTAAACATATATTGATAAGATAAATGATTTTATTTTTCCATGTTGTCGAACCATTCGCACTGAATGCTTAAAAATCTAAACAATATTTGTTTGCGCTTTATAAGTTTAATGCGCTGTACATGTACAAATGTACAAAAGTATATTAGGTTTACGGGATATGAAAACTTTAACAGTCAGATGGAGGTGTAGCAGGTCCCACAAAGTATATATGTATGTATTCTTGATCCGCATCACATGACGAGTCGATCTAGCCCTGTCTGCCTGTCCGTCCGAACACATGGATTTCAGAGACTATAAGATATAAGATATAGAGACACCAAATTTTGTAAAGAGATGCTCTATGTGTGTACGCTATCCGAGTTTGTTTGTTTTTTATACGCATCCCCCTTTCCCCTATAGGGGATTTCCGAAAACGCCGTTCGTAAATTCATCGAACTCTCGGAGACTATAAGAGTTAGAGACACGTTACATATACAAATTTACTGGTTTGCCCATCCATGTACTTCCTTTGTGATATTTCCAAATGAATTTTTCTTTTTAAAGTTGAACATCTATGTCATATTTGAATTGATAAGATAATAGATCTTTAAAAATGCGTGTACATTTATTCCTGCTATTTTTTAAGTTTACCTGCCCTTTTAATTAAAAATCAAAGCGTTAGAAACCTTTACTGTAAGTTGTATATCTGCTTGACGTTTATCAAGCACAAAGCGAAATCCAATGTTACAATGCTTAAAGCCCCATATTGCACTGTGGATATGGTCCAGATTTAATGTTTACACATGTTTGCAGAGACTTCCACCGCCGCCTCCACGTTGGAAACAGGAAGCTCAACAGCTGCAGGGGAAGCAGGAAGAACCACCTGAAAACATTATTATTAGTCAGTTATCGACTCAGCAGCAACAACAATATGAAATAGCGCCGCAAGCGAACATATACTCTGAAATAAAAACAAGGGGAAGACAGGTATGTATTTTATATACATATATATATATTTGTATTGTATAGGTATTTACACAAATAGAATAGATTGCGTCGCCAACTATTGGCCTAGTTTCTATGAAAACAGTTGTAATCAATTCAATATAGGAGTACGAAGACGTAAACTTCAAAATTACTGAGGCATAGGTTTTTTTTTTTTGTATATCTTTTAATATCCACTAAGACAACATTTATTTCACTTCACAAAGATCATCACTTTATTGCTATGCTCAAACTGAATATGTTTTCCCTTTTATACTGACGTGCTTGTACCATTTTTGCATGTGTTTCTAAAAATCGAATTTTTTGAACTTGTTCAGCTTTGAACACCAATAAACGTGACAAGGCGCATAAACACAAAGATCTCGAAAAATATAGGAGTTATAGTCACCAAATTTTGTATGCAGGTATCCTATGTACAGGAAGCGAATGCAATTTGGTTTTTCTTTCCATGGAATGCAATTGTAAATGTCGTAAGCATGTGCACAACCGAGTTGCGTTTTTTCATTCAAAAATGTGTACAACTGAATTAAATTGTTTAAATGTTTTTTGAACTACGTGTAGGGTATGAAAATCGACGCCCGCGATATTATTGACTCCTTTAATATTAAATATTTTCTTTGACATAAAACTTTATTATTTTTGAAGCAACAAAGGCAGCTAAATTATCATAATCCTGACCATCAAAATCAGCAACCCAGTAAACATCCTGGCAGCTATAACAACAAGGGTAGTGACCACCTTCTCCAGAATAATAATCGCAATGATAACAGCGGCATAAACAAGACCTTAAACGTAAACTACAGCACCCGCCCACAGCTCCCACAGATGGGAAATAATACAAGCAGCAATTCTGTACGTTCATCATCCATTCAAGGGTTTGTGCCTATACAGGCTTACCGTCCGAAGAAGTCTCAAGCCGCAGAAATAGTTAATGCGGAACCATCCTTGGTAAGACAATTAACATTTTGGAACCTAAGCAAGCATGTATAGTAAGCAGTAAAGAACCGCGATTTATTTATATATAACTTGGATCTGCCATACCTGGCTATAATGAGATAAATCGGCATGTTCGTCTGCCCGTCCTTGGAGAATGAAGAAGTTTTGAACCATAACAGCTCCACACTTGGCATGTAGACTTATGCAGATCAAGAATCGGATGCACGTGACGAATATTCAAATCGTTTCCTGCTAATATTATTTAAAATTAGATAAAACACTGAATGTTGGTAGCAGGCATTGCTAATGCATAAGCAACGGCGTGCATACGCGATTATGGATGTTTGTAAAATGGCTTTATCAAAGCAAAAAAAAAAATGCTGAGGAGTGACGAATGACGAATAAATACACCAGCAAGTAATGCAAAACTCAGTACCTGTTACCAGAACAAAGTTTAAAAAATGCAGTGCATAATTTTTTGGTTAGTACAAATTATTGAGGAATGATGACAGTGCACACTTAAATTATGATTGTATTTATCGTATTTGAGTAGATAGTCCCTTAGTATACTAAGGAAGAGCCCTATCAAAAAATGGCAGCTTAACCGAAATCTTTAATGAACTATTTAATTTTTTTACTTTTCTTCATCTTGAAAATATTTCAACTTAAATTTTACGTTTTTACGTTTACACATATGTAAATTCAATACAACTTTTTTTATGTTGTGTTCTCTATTTATTTATTTTTATTTTTTTTACTTAAAAATACATTATGTAATTAAAGCCTTATTTGGCCTAAACATACCTCAGTATGTACATATATCAAACCTTCTAATAATAAAAACGTATCTAGCACAACAACGGGCCGCCTGCCCCGAAAAAAAGATTAGTCATATTAAAGAAATAGTTGGTCAGAAAAAAACACGAACATTTTTATACCTAAATTAATTACTTGGAGACTCTTAAGCAAATTAATAATAAAAACAAAATCGTTTCCTAAAAATGTTGTACTTATTATTGTCACCATGCACAAGCGCAGTGTATTAAAAGAAATATTTTTTCACATATTATAACAGATACAGTCCGTTGAGAGCATTGAGGCCACGGCTGGATTAATGCAGGCCTTAAAAATTGAGGTAAGTTTAATACTAGTATAAATATTCGTAGATAATGACATATTTGGTATATTCGAGCAGCACCCCACTCAAGTACAGCCACAATTTTCAAATATCGTGAACCCTACCTCAGGAAGTACAGATAAAGCAACAAAGGTATGCATAGTATTCATTTTAACTGTTTTGTCCCGATTTCTTATTTTATCATTTTTCTCTATAGACGCAACTAAAGCTACAACGTAAACCACGCAAGCCACGTATAGGTGCCAAATTTGATTTGGACTACATTTTACATTGAGATAAAATTCAATAAATTTACATATGAGTGTGTACAATATATTCAAAAATACATATATTTACATAAAATCATATTCATCCCACTGTTTCAATGTTATATAATTTTTACATTTTTTTTTTTTTTTTTGTATGTAGACTGGTCTACATAAATATATTTTATCACCAGAACTACTGAATTTGTAAATATTAAAACAAGTAAGCCAAAAAGCTTCAGCGTACATCCGCATAAACTCTAGCAATTGCCAAACCAACAATCGCGAAACAAACAACGAGATCTACACCCGTGTCCTCTGCACACAGTAATCAACGAAATTTCACCTTATTGAGTGAATACCTCCTGCCCTAAATAAAGTTTATAGTTTGTAAATCAAGTTGCTTAAATTCAATAAAGACCTCTGGCCTCAAATTAAAATTATATTTTTTATTGAAATTCTAACAGTGGAATTTTACTTATATTCTATTATATGTAGCCATAAATGTTAGCTCTGCCCAAGGTCAGCCAGCAGCTGTTTTTGTTGTTGCTGCTGCGGCCTAACTTTGTCACTGTACACATAAGCCTGTATAGACGCAAATCCGCTCTAAGTCTTTAGTATTAAAACAGGCCGCAAACATACTTACAAACGTTTTATTGTTATACTACACTGTACACAAAGGGTAAAGGGGTATACTAATTTGGGGCGAATGTATACAACACTCATACGGATGGCTAGACAGGGCTAGATCGACTCGTCTTGTCATGCTGATCAAGAACAAATATACTTTGTGGGGTCTTTGTGCGTGTTACATTTTTCCCCCGCAAATATTTCCATGCTAGGGTTTCCCTTAGCCTTAAGGCTGAATTGTCGAGAAACCCCATCTGGGTTAAGTTGCAATGGCGGGAGTGAAGATAAATCACCCGCCCACTTACGCCTTGAAGGCCTGTTGTGGTGCCATGTAATCTCTACTTTCGTTGGTCAGCCTTTAGCCACCCGGTGGTATTTAAAAATTTCGCCAAGTCCACGACCTCTATGGTTGTTACCTCCGAGAGGTCGTTTAAGTAAGGTTTCCCTATGGTGCGTTGGGGGCACCGGAGGTGGCAGAGGAGGTACTCCACACTTACCTCCTCGTCTCTGCAGCTTCTGCAGAAGTCGTTGAACGTAATGTTCAGTCTCGATGCGTGTCTGCCAATCGGGCAGTGGCCCGTGAGGGCCCCATCACTATGGAGATTTCTGTCCTACTCAGTTTTACAAGCTTTAAAGGGGTGGCCAGGTAAGCCTTGCTCGAACGCATGAGTTTGCCCAGCGCTGCTGTGTCATAGAACGTGCATGGTTGCGCGTCAGGCCCGAAAGTACCCTGACAGCATTTCCTTACCTTCCCTGTCGGGAAGAATGCTTGCGTTTGTTCCATTCCTTTTCAGCTCGTCTGCCACTAATATGAGACTGGTACTGACCTGCTAGGCCATCTCGTTGAGAGATAACTTTTGAGTTCTCCATGTTGGAGTCCAACGTTTTGAGCGCTGCTTGGCTGTCTGAAAATATAAAAATCGGTCTGCCGCCTAGTGCCATCTAGTGCCAGCTTTTATACAAGCGTAAAGAGCATTCGCAGCCTTCTTCACCCGTTCACTAATGTTAATTTTGTTCTTTCGTGTGAAAAGTATGTACCGAGACTCCAACGGTCTTAGATCGCAAAATCGTCATTATTTCACTTAGTGCCACCTAGCGGCCATATTAGGTTGGTGACAGTTGGCATGGGGAAATTTTAAATGTCGAAAAGAAAGGGCTAAGTGAGGCGGTAGGCCCTAACCTTCTTTTCTATTTCCGACCGTCAGAGAGTGCAGACGCGTCCAGTCAGCGCCGACAAAGAATTTAAAGAATATAAAAAAACAGTAAATAAAAAAGAAAGTACTGTAAACTGCATGAATAGCAGTAACTATAATTTAAAATTCATTTTTTTTGTAACCAAACTAATTATCGTAAAAAAACGCGAATTCGGTTAGGTACCCTATAGGTATTTGGGTTTCTTCTCTTAACCTACCCATTTTGGGTTATATTCTGCTTGGACGCGACTTGCAAGCTCAACAACAACTGCTGAACCGAGAACAGCTGTATTGCAGAGACTCATAGAGGCGTTTTTTCGGTGCCCCCGTTGGATGAGGGAACGGTAGACGACCTCGTCAAGATCGCCGAAAGCATTCGGGTCAACCTAGGCACCCCCACAACTTAGCTTGCTAGCTAGGGCATGGCTAGAACCCTTTAGTGCCTTTGCCATCATTTGTATTCATTTTGTCATGTCGAGAGGGGAAACTAATCATAATAGCGTTTGTTCAAGCCTTTAGTTTGAAAATTCAAAGTGTGTGATACCCAGCCACCAAAAAATTGGTATTTGATTTTTGATTTGATTTTAATGCATGAAAAAAGTGTCCGTTCTCTAACCAAGTTCCAGCGACATCGGAAAGCGCTTTCATCGATGGACAAGTGGATTTTGGTGAGTGCGTTCCTTTTTGTTTTCATTATTTGAATGCAATGTCTTACTGGGAGTCATAAGCAAAGACCTAAAGAAAAGACTCCGTAAGCAAAATTTTGTTTGTAGCACTGGCATCACACGCCTTATCTATTTTTTTGTTGTTGCATATTCAGTGGCACTCTCATGCGCACAGTTGTTTTTGGTTTGAAGAGACGCGCTATTTTTTTTCTTTTCCCTCTTCCAACAAAATTTAATAATGCTCTTTAGCTGTAAAGTTTTTTTTAGTATACATATATATGTACAATTTTTATACTCTGTACATGAAATGTACAGAAGTATATTAGGTTTGCGGGAGCTGAAAAATGTAACAGGCAGAAGGAGGCGTGGCAGACCCCACAAAGTATATATATTCTTGATCAGCATGACGAGACGAGTCGATCTAGCCCTGTCTGTCTGTCTGTCCGTCTGTCCGTCAGTATGAACACCTGGATCCCAGAGACTATAAGAGATAGAGACACCAAATTTTGCACAAAGATGCGTTATGTGCGTATTCTATACGAGTTAGTTTTATTTTTTTGATTTTCCCCCCACTTCCCCCCTATGGGGGTTTTCCCGATTTTCCATTCGTATAATCGCCTATATCTCGGAGACTATAAAACCTAGAAACACCAAATTTTAGTCCCAGATGCCTTGTGTGAATACGCAGAAAATGTATATTTTGGAATTTCTCTCCCTCCCCCCTCTACCCCACAAATGCGATTTTCTCTAACTCCCGTAATTCTTGGAATTTCGAACTAAAATTTTGCAAATACCCCCAGTTAGTTATTATGTGTCCGTATGCCAAGTTTCACTATGATAGACCGATTTAACAAGAAGTTATAGCCATAAATATATTTGCTGCTGCAGCGCTGCTCAAGCGCTGCCCGCGGCTGTTGTTGATGTTGCTGTTTGGTTGACTGCGAAAATGCTTACACAGACACGAATTGATGCGCATAGGCATACATACACTCACACAGACGCAATTGATATGTAAATGTGCAATTATAAACCCCTTACGTGAGTTCGAATACCGAGAGAACTAAAATCGATCAAATTTTTTTTTTATTTTATTAATTTTTTTATTTTCTATAATTATTGTAATTATTGTAAACATATGTACAGAGTATTTCAAAGTCGGGACACCCGACTTTAGCTTTTTTACTTGTTTATACTCTGTACATGAAATGTACAAGAGTATATTAGGTTTGCGGGAGCTGAAAAATGTAACAGGCAGAAGGAGGCGTGGCAGACCCCACAAAGTATATATATTCTTGATCAGCGTGACAAGACGAGTCGATCTGTCTGTCCGTCTGTCCGTCCGTATGAACACCTGGATCTCAGAGACTATGAGAGATAGAGACACCAAATTTTGCACAAAGATGCGTTATGTGTGTATTCTATACGAGTTTGTTTTATTTTTTTGATTTTCCCCCCCACTTCCCCCCTATGGGGGTTTTCCCGATTTTCCATTCGTATAATCGCCTATATCTCGGAGACTATAAGACCTAGGAACACCAGGTTTTAGTCCAAGGTGCCTTGTGTGAATACGCAGAAAATGTATATTTTGTGTCCGTATGCCAAGTTTCATTATGATAGACCGATTTAACAAGAAGTTATAGCCATAAATATATTTGCTGCTGCAGCGCTGCCCGCGGCTGTTGATGCTGGTGCTTTGGTTGACTGCACACATGTTTACACAGACACGAATAGATGCGAATAGGCATACATACACTCACACGGACGCAATTGCTGTGTAAATGGGCAATTATACACCCTTTACGTGAGTTCGAATACCGAGAAAGGTAAAATCTATCATTGAATTATTTTTTATTTTCTTAATTTTTTTTATTTTCTATAATTATTGTAAACATATGTACAGAGTATTTCAAAGTCGGGACACCCGACTTTAGCTTTTTTACTTGTTTTTAAAGTTTTATTTATTTATCGAATCTTCTCTCTCGGAGACTCACGATAAGTAGTCAAATCTTAATGTAATTTAGTTATTTAATTATTTACAATTAAATATTTAAATTACGGCCCTAACTGTTATTGCTGGGTGGGGAGGTCTCTTCGCCGGAGTCGTGTATGGCTAGCCTGCCAAGGTAAATTCTGCGCAAGTCTATTTGGATGGTTCCGAAGCTTAAACTGGTACTTTGCTTTCACCTTGGCGATTTCATCTTTAACAAATCCCACATTTAAATTCCGTACAGTTTCACTCCGTATGTACCTGGGTCCCCAGTGATGGTTCTCAGTATGTTCGATTGAGATCTCTCGATTAACTCTAAATTACAAAGAGAAGCGTTTCCCCATAATTAAGAGCTATATGCCCATATTGGTTTGAGAACTGCATTGTACAAAAGAACTTTGTACTCCAGTTTTAGCTGTGAACGGACTTTTATAAGCCAATGTGGATTAAAAGCTTTTAGTTTCAGTTGATCTCTATCCAAATGGACACCAAGGTAGTAACATCGTTTTTTTGTGGAATATTGATGTTGTTTAGCGACAATGGAGGACAAGTTTGTTTCTTTAGGATAAAGGTGACATGTTTGCACTATTGCTCGTTTACATGTATGCGCCAGTCTGCTAGCCATTC